GAGGAAGAGAGGAGAGGCACAGAATACACATTGCTTGAAGTCTAGTGTAAAGTTTCCACAGTCAGTGATGGTTTGGGGCCATGTCATCTGCTGGTGTTGGTCCACTGTGTTTTCTGAGGTCCAAGGTCAACGCAGCCGTCTACCAGGAAGTTTTAGAGCACTTCATGCTTCCTGCTGCTGACCAACTTTATGGAGATGCAGATTTCATTTTCCAACAGGACTTGGCACCTGCACACAGTGCCAAAGCTACCAGTACCTGGTTTAAGGACCATGGTATCCCTGTTCTTAATTGGCCAGCAAACTCGCCTGACCTTTACCCTATAGGAAATCTACGGGGTGTTGTGAAGAGGAAGATGCGATACACCAGACCCAACAATGCAGAAGAGCTGAAGGCCACTATCAGAGCAACCTGGGCTCTCATAACACCTGAGCAGTGCCATAGACTGATCGACTCCATGCCACGCCGCATTCTGCAGTAATTCAGGCAAAAGGAGCCCCAACTAAGTATTGAGTGCTGTACATGCTCATACTCTTCATGTTCATACTTTTCAGTTGGCCAACATTTCCAAAAATCCTTTTTTTGTATTGGTCTTAAGTAATATTCTAATTTTCGGAGATACTGAATTTGGGATTTTCATTAGTTGTCAGTTTTAATCATCACAATGAAATGAAATAAACATTTGAAATATATCAGTCTGTGTGTAATGAATGAATATAATATACAAGTTTCACTTTTTGAATGGAATTACTGAAATCAACTTTTTGATGATATTCTAATTAAATGACCAGCACTTGTAGGTGTTATCTTGGATTTGAAACTAAACTTCACAAGTTAAATTACAAGTACAACTAAGAGAGCATTTTACCACCAAAAATACCACTTGTCTCAGTCAGATGCTGATAAATTGGTTCATGCATTCATCTCCCCGATTCAATTCAATTTTGTTTATGTAGCACCAATTCATAACAGAAGTTATCTCATTGCACTTTTAATATAGAGCAGGTGTAGAGCGGACCGAGAGAGAAAGAGACTGACAGAGATAAGGACATACGGAAAACCTTGCCACCAAGTATGTGTCCCTGTGTCACAACCTGAGGGACAGCGAGTGACTCAGCAAGCTGTTGCACTTAATATTCGCTGCATGTCAGGTTAAATCTTGTTAATTCTGGTTTGTAGTTTACATTCTAATTGCATTTATTATTTTTGCTTTTGTAACTTGTAAAATGTAAAAATGTAAACTTTTTGATTTTGTTGCAAACCGCTTTGGCAAAATTGTTTAACTTTAAAATTCATGCCAAGAGCGAGACAGACAGACACAGAGAGAGAGAGAGACAGAGACAGAGAGACCTGGGACATGATTCCACAGGAGAGGAGCTTGATAGCTGAAGGCTCTGACTCTAACTCTAGGAAGCACAAGTAAAATTGCATTCTGGGAGTGCAGTGTTCTAGTAGAGTAATAAGGTACTATATTAGGATTTTAAATTCTATTCTGGTTTTACAGGGAGCCAGTGCAGAAAAACTAATACAGGAGAAATATGATATTTTTCCTAGTTCTTGTCAGTACACATGCAGAGGCATTCAGTATCATCTGAAGTCTTAAGGGACTTATTCAGGCAGCCTGATAATAAAGAATTGCAATAATCCAGCCCAGAAGTAACAAATGCGTGGACTAGTTTTTCTGCATAATTATCAGACAGGATGTGCCTGATTTGTTACATAGGTGAAAAAAGGTGGTCCTTGAAGTTTGTTTTATGTGGGAGTTAAAGGACATATCCTGATGAAAGATAACTCCAAGATTCCTTTTGGTGGTGCTCGAGGCCAGGGCAATGCCATCTAGAGTAACTATATATACATAATGTGTCTCTGAGGCGTTTGGGGCCAAATACAATAACTTTAGTTTTGTTTGAGTTTAACATCAGAAAATTACAGGTCATCCAGGTTTAAACGTCCTTAAGGCATGCTTGAAGTTTAGCTAACTGGAGTGTTTCCTGATAATATTACCTAAAGAAAGCATATATAAGGGGAATAGGATTAGTGCAAGCACAGAACCTTGTGGAACTCTGTGACTATTAACATGTATAAACTGAAATCGAGCTGATAAATACAATTTAAACCAGCTTAGAGCGGTTCCTTTAATGCCAATTAAATATTCTCTGTAATAGGATGTGATGATCAGTGGTGTTGAAGGCAGCACTAAGATCTTGTTAATGCTTTTAAGTTGATTCTCAAATGTAAGTGAAAATGAATAAATTTAATGTACTGTAAATGTAAGATCTAATAAAACAAGTACAGAGACAAGCCCTTTGTCTGATGCCATTAGTAGGTCGCTGGATCTGCTGCTAGACTACTGGAATGCCCATCTGAAAATGTCACCTTGAGCTTTGGGAAATCGTGATTTTTTTTGTTTCACCATTTTCTGAAATTTTAAAATATATCATATAATGAATCAAGATTCATCTGTAAAGAAAATCATTGTTAGCTGCAGCCCTTCTTTTGTAGCTGCACTTTTGTGGAACCAATTAAAGGTTTTATAAGTTTAACCTGTTTTTTATTAATTTGTTCTTAAATCATTTAGTAGTTCTAGATGGATAGTCTTTAAAATAAAAAAACTTTAGGGCTGCCATGTTGTGAAGAATTGCTTGGCTGGTGTTTATCCTTTTCTATTTATTGGTGCAATGCAATTATAAATGTTGGTTGTCCATTGTTAAATGCTCACGTGTATCGCACTTGCCAATAAGCCATCTGCCCAGCTACTGTAAATAGTCATTACTCAATAGTCATAGTCATTAATAAAGCTTTTTTCCAGAAAATGAGTTCTCAAAAGACCAATTTAAGGCATCTTCATGATGAACTAAAGAAATAATAAGGCGGATCACACACTCCACACAATTGGATTTTTCGTAACTCTCAATGCAAAAAGTTATAACAGGACTACTGTATAAAGCCCTAATAAATTATTTATTAACAATTACTAAAATCATTAGTTTGAACTATTAAGTCCTTTTTATTCTTTAAAAGATTCATCTAATTTGATTATTTTGAAAGCCGTGCCAGTGACATGCAATCACCATTGTTTTTGACATTTCCATACTGATTTCGGTTTGGTTTCTATCAGTATGTAGTGTGTTACAACATTAAAATGGGCACAATATCAGTCCTTTTATCAGTGGCTTTAAGAATGTCTAGGACAAAAAATTTCCCCAGTCAAAGATGTTCAAATTTGGAGTTGTTTGTTCTTTGAACTTGGACTTAAACAATGGGGAAAGCAGTGCCAGTGACAAGCAACAGCCAGTCTTTTTGTATTTGAATGCCCTCACGTTCTGTTGTATAAATCTGCTGTCAGTATGCAGGACTTCAGTGAATATGTCAAGTCACTCCCTTTTTGTTCTTATTTACCATACCATAAGCTATCTGTGGCAATAAGTCTGCTCCTCCTCTGTATGTGATACTTCAAAGTGTATGTATGTATGTATATGCCATCAACGCTTGTAAAAATGTTTCAACAGAACCGTCTTATTTCAGCCTTTCCCCCAGTACAGTAGGCTGTGATTGAAAAGATGACATGAAACACCAATCAGCTGTAAAATTCTGAGCCTAATATTGTGTAGGCCCCCCTTTTGCTGCCAAACAGCCCTGATTCGTCGAGACATAGACTCCATTAGACCTCTGAAGGTGTGCTCTGGTGTCTGGCATGAGGACATTAGCAGCAAATCCTTTAAGTCCTGTAAACTGAAAAGTGGGGCTTATTTGTCCAGCACATCCCAAAGATGCTCAATTGGATTGAGACCTGGGGAATTTGGAGGCCAAGGCAACACCTTAAACTTATTGTTGTGTCCCTCAAACCATTCCTGAACCAGAGCTCCTGGCAGTGCTCATTATCCTGCTGAAAGTGGCCACTACCATCAGGGAATACCATTTCCATTAAAGGGCGTACATGATGTGCAACAATGCTTAGGTAGGTGGTACGTGTCAAAGTAACATGCACATAAATGGCAGGACTCAAGGTTTCCTACCAGAACATTGCCCAAAGCATCACACTGCCTCTGCTGGCTTGCCTTCTTCAGAGTGAATTAAGTTGCCATGTGTTTTCCAGGTACGCAACGCACCTGCACCAAGTCATTCTTGTGATGTTAAAGAAAACGTCATTCATGAGACGAGGCCACCTGTTCTGACACCTTTCTATTGGAAACAGCATCAGCTTCTTTAGCAATATGACCTTCAGTAGCTTGTATGTTGAATCGGACCACACAGGCCACCCTTCGTTCCCCACACGCATCAATGAGCCCCCGAACCTGTCGCTGGTTCACCGTTTTTCCTTCCATGGACCACTTTTGTGTGTGTGTGTGTGTGTGTGTTGTGTGTTGATGAACAGAAACAAAAGGACGTGTTAAAACACACACACTCTTTTTCATTACCTAGGGAACTATACAATACAGAGGAGTTGATTAGGATTTCCGACAAAAGGACAGTAGGCTCCAGCAAGCCTCTCTGAATTCATTGTCATTAGCAGTGGAACACCAAGCCCTTTTCAAACTCATTAGTTGATAAAACAACCCTCTGATTTCCCATTAAAAAATCCATTCGTCCTCCCTCACTGGCGATGCTCACCCTCCACCGCATCCCTGCATTTCCACACCTTCAAAGCCACTCCTGAGATTGGGAAAGAAATGACAGCTCTTATTCAATTTTATCAAGACGTTTGTCCAGATTCCTCCCAGAATGAAGTGTATGGTTTCACATCGAACAATTATAGTTGGTTTTAAAAAAACTTTACAGCTTTGCAGCATTTACAATCTGCTTTTATTGTAGAATTTAATTTCCACCTTCTATTTAAGGTTTTTCCCTTCTCTCTTGGGATTTTGAACTGATGTGGTCTATTAAAGGGCTGAAATAGCAGTAATTGTATGCGATGCAGTTATTCTGTGACTGAATTTCTGTGCATGAACCCTATATCCTTTTTCTAAGTAATCAACCTTCAGCTAAAAGATGAATCAATCATTTCTTGTTTCCTGGCAGAATAACAATTTATTTCAATTTAGACAAAAGGAAATACATATTTGTGCTTTGTGTAGTTTAATGAAGAGCTTTGTTTATATACACTTTGTACACTTTATATATAATTTGAATTATTACCACTTATTGAATATTATTAAATATCAAAGACCCTCACCCCCCACCCCCCGGTACCGATCTGATAATCAAAAAGGTAAAGCTAAAAAAAACATTATCTTTTGAATTTTCAAAAACATTCATTCAAAGATGCCTAGTGTCAAAATTCAAGTCAGTATGTCTCATTCAGCCAGGATCAACGTCAACCTCTCTGAACTCTTATAATCTCAAACAAAAGTCATGAACCCACAAGTACCAGCAGTGTTTTGTCTCTGTTGTAATCCAGACGAATCAAACCAAGACAGAAACCAGAGGGCAATCACAAACAACACCAGCCTGAATCCACACAGCTTAACCTTGTCTTTTAGCTTAATCACTCTTCGTCTGAGATCCTGAAGACGCACCTGAGCACACAGTTTTTAGAAGCAGATATGCCTCTTGACACATTTCCTCATTGTAATGTAGATCTGACAGGCAGTTTTGGTTCTGAGAAAAAAAACTAAAATTTAGCATGAAGCCGGCACAGAGCGTTTTACAAATTTGCATGGATATCCTCGTGTCGCAGCACTTTATAGGTGATCCAGTAGAAGATGTTGAATATGAGGAAGCTTAAGGGAAAGAAGGCTCTGGATATGGTGTCAATGCGCTTGGCCCGGTCCACAAAACGCTTGTGAAGTACCTCTCCGCTGTATATGGAAACCGGAGGTGGGGGGGTGAACACAGTGGCCCCTTCCACAGTGGTACCATCCTTCGTCTGCAGGGTATGACCCAGTCCATAACCCCGAAAGTAAAAACCACGGCTCTCCCTCACCAGTTCCTCCTCCTGTGGAGTCAAGCATAGGGAAAGCAGATTGGCCTCTCGCTGTCAACAAGAATTAGCTCATAGCTTTTTACATTTCCTCTCAGTGGCTGATTCCCAAATGCGTTTGGGGTGTAGTAGCACAAAAGGGCAGCAGAGTGCAACAGAGTGAGAACATCCACAGGAAAAAAAAAAAAAAAAGAAAAATGGGCCACCCTTTTAAAGGGATGAAATCCAGCAGATGATTTGTCAGTGATTGTGTGTAAAACACGCACTAAGTGAGTTTGTGCCTTTCATGTAGCCGCTACAGTACATTCAAGTCACAGAGGTAAGCATTCGTTTCTCTTAAAAGGAAATACATTATGATGTTTGAAAAAACTCAAGGGTGGACTGGCCACTTGGGCTGATAAACCACAACGTGGAAAAATGGAGACAAAAAAACGCATATTGGTATGTGGCTTGATCAACTGGCCCATAGTGTGTGGTTACTGGCCCAGATGGTGGTGTGGTGGGGGCCGTTATAATATGATTGGTTATGTCAGTCCATCAAACACTCCACATCAGAACATAATGAAACGGTTGAAACGCGGACCTAACCCCTAGTTCGGTTATTTGTGCTTCAAAATCATGTATAAAAACAACATAGGACGAAACACAAAAGGTGGTGCTAAAAAGTTGAGGGAGACAAAAAAGAAGTTGCTCGAGGCAGGTGCGGTAAAGTGCTTTTGCTGCTGCTTCTACTTCTACCGCCACCAGTGGAGACAGCTAACCACAAGTCGGATCTTTTTCTGGGTTATTGAAACAAAAACTACTAAAATGATAAATGCTGGCCCTATAATTATCAACCTGCTGTAGCTACTATCTAGTGGAAATTATTCTCCCATTTCAATATTTACTAATAGTGTTATTTTCTAGTGTTATACTAATATAATCCTAATAGCCTCCTCCCTTTAATAGCAACGCATGCATGAGTACTGTTGATTTTTTGTCCTACATTTTCCATGCTTCTTGTAGCTGAGTGAGTGAGTTTCTGCAGCGATAAACAAGTGTATATTCACAAGCTTGAGAGTTTATGTATGGTCATTTTACATTTTGGTGCAGAAAGAAATTGTTGTTCATGTCTTTTCAAATACAATTTTCATTGAAATGGCCTGTAAAGTGTTTTTTGTTGCCTTCTAGTAGTTGATTTTGGGTATATGCAGTATCGTTTTATTCCATGTGTCTAGCCCATAGACTGTGTATAAAAGGTCTAGCCTGGATCCAGCAAATGGGTGGGTCCAAATTTTATTGCATCAACGATCTATTAATATTTAAATCACAGATCCATGGTCTGGATAGCCACTAGGCTTGTATGTACACTATAATTTATTTATAGTACTTTAGGGTTCAACTGAGGTGATTACCTGAGGGGAGCTAGTTTTGAAAATGCATTTGAATCGCTCATTTCATGATATACTGTACTTGCATAAAATTCTCAAGAATGCAGGAAAAAAGTCTCTAAAGATTCAGAGCCCCCAACAAATGCTTTGTCTTCAAATGCTTTGAGTGGGCTGACCACTCAACAAACTGACAAATTCCCGGGTCATTTTGTTTCCCCTAGTCTGCCCATGTAAAAACACATATGGGCGTTCAACAACAATGCTGTTCTGAAGTTGTTTCCAAAATACTCTGAAGCTGTGTCTCAATTCAGGTACTTCCTTGAGAATACCAACATGCAGTACACTGCGTACACCATATACTTACTTGCTTAGTGTGTTAATTTTGACAGGGTAGTGTTGTCTCAAATTAAACACTGCTGTTGTGCACAAACCGGAAATGACTATCGCAAGATTGCGCAATCCCCCCAGCACAGAGGCTGCCTGCAGAGCTCCAAAATAACAGCCAGGCTTTATCACCCCAAATAAAATGCTCAGAATCTGGTTTATTGTAATTCGCGTTGCTATATTGGTGCATAAATAAGAATTATGTCAAATAAAAGCAATTGGCAAGTATTGTAACCACAACTGTACACTAACAATGTAATGTCTAATATAATAATAAAAATAAAGTAACAGTCCCCTATTAATACTATTTCTGTTGTTTGTTTGTTTATTTATTTAGGTTTCACAAGGCAAGATTTTCTGTACATCACGAGCCAGATGTCAGTCATTTGATTTAAATTACTCAAAATGTAATGAATAACAGCGGTACGAACATTAAAACTATCCTACAGCTGTTTTCCTCTGCCGTTGTTGCTGGAGTCTCTGCTGCGTTGGCTGCCAGAGTTCTGTGTGTACCAAGTACTTTTAGTACCTAAACCCAACCAAGTACTTTTGGTGCCTAAACCTAACCAAACTGCAGCCGCTAAGTGTCCCCCGTTCCACACTCAACTTCTTAGCCGTTATGAGTGCACAATCGTGCGCAGCATTTTGCTGTACTTCTCAGTGTGAACACACTTATGCCCTCAAAATAGTAAGTGCAAGTATGGAAGTGTGCAAATTGAGACAGCAAAAGACTCTTCTAACCATCTAGATGAAAACACATTCTGTCTGATGTGAAGCAAAAACAGATTTTGGACCCAATTTATAAGATCCGACTATATTTTCTAATCCAGGTAGCTGGAAATGACCGCAAGAAAATGTTAACACAGGCATTTACACAGGTAAGAAAACATAAAACATAAAGTAGAATCATTACATAACCGACCACAAAATGTATACATTTTGGCTCAGGTTGTTCAAATTAAACATACTTGTAACTGTTATCTGTGTTTGGATTTATTAATCCAAACAAATCTACAATTTGGGAAACAGATTAACAATCTTTTTTGCTGTGTAGCAAGTGGTTCGAAAAGTTTTTGAGAGTTTTGGAAATGCCTTCAGAATACCTTCTAGTGTTGTTAAATTACTTTTAAACATTGCAGTTTATTTATTTTTCAGAAAACTGTCTGCTTGCATCTGTGATTTGAATGTAATGGTGATACATGAGGGGCTCAAACCAGGGCTACAACAGGCACTAGCCTTAGATAAACTTTCTTTTTAATCAATTAAGCTTTTTGAAGTTTCTATGACACAAAGAGGGGAATTGGAGGACATCATCATTAGAAGTAAGAAAAGAAATTATAATATTCTGGAAGTTAATTAAAACTTAACCTCCATCTCTCCTTTTCAGCTCTTTTCAAAGTTGCAGAATGATAGACCTTTCAAAATGCCTATTAATAAAAAGTCATGATCTCAGCTACACCAAAAAAAACTTGCACATGGTATTATGCTTTGATGAATGGCGGGGCATACAGTGAATGAGACATTGTTCCCGCCCTCTGAAGAGAATATTAATAGACATTTAGCTTAACTCTGACAGCACTCTGACACTTTGAGATATTCACTTTAGCAGGGGAAAGTGAAGATGTGGGATCTAAATTGGATGATTAGTAGTCAGTGTGAAGTGCCCTGTAAGCTCTGATCCCTGCATCCCCCTCTGTTTCTCTCTCACTGACCCTGGCAGCTCCCTCGTACTCTGCCGAACTTCGCATCTCAGTGCTGGACAGACTTGGCAGTACTGTCAAAGGTCCAATGCTACTAATTTATTTCACACCTGTCTCCACCTGTCTCCTACATTCTCTTCTATATGGATTTATTTAGTCCTTTAAAAAACTTACTTTACATCTGATCTCTGCCTACTGTCCTTTGCTTGCACCTTCACTGTTTAGCTGAAGACTATGCCACTAACTTAATTTACTGTAAACTTCCTCTTTTTTACCCCTGCCTAATTTTGAGTAACTTTAAGGTTACGGTCTGTTGCCCCAATGACAAATTTCACCATACACCACCAACAGGGGGATAGGGTATTGTAGCTCTTTCAGCACAGCTTAATTGTCCCTCCTACTCCTTCCTAAACGATACAGTACATCATGTGCTAAAGCCTAATGGTGGGTTTCTCTAAAAATAATAAGTGTGATTTGTTGGCATAAGATCAGTTGAGACAGCTCTGGTTCTCACATTGTGCTCTGTGGAGAATTTTCCTGTTTAGACATAAATAATGCTAACTCTAAAACTAAAAGGTTTAGTTCGACATTTCAGGAAATACACTTGGCTGGATCAGAAGATTGACACCACTGTCATTTCTGTTCATTAAAAATGAAGCTAATGCCAGCAGCTGGTTAGTTTAACTTAGCATAAAGACTGGAAACAGGGTAGCAGCTAGCCTTCATCTGCCAAAAAGTAACAAGTCCATCCATCCATCCATCCATCGTCAACCGCTTATCCTGTGTACAGGGTCGCGGGGGGGCTGGAGCCTATCCCAGCTGTCAATGGGCAAAAGGCGGTGTCCACCCTGGACAGGTCGCCATTCCATCGCAGGAAAAAGTAACAAGTCTCAAGTTTAATTTTTACACTCTCAGATTTTGTGTAGATTAAACAAATCAGATGTAACCTGTTAATTGTGGATCTTCAGAAGGTGGCTGTAGCAGATTTTAGATTGTTCTGACGGGGCCTGGCTAGTTTTCAGACTTAATGCTGAAGATAAACTAACTGGCTGTAGCTTCATATTTACCTTACATACCAGAGAGTGGTAATCTTCTCATCTAACTCCTGTCAAGAAAGTGAATAAACCTATATCCCAAAACTATTTCTTAAAATTAGACAATTAATAGACTTAAAACATTAAACAAACTTAAGCATTGCTTTGTCTTTAGTAAATGCAGACAGTCTTTAAAGTATCCTGAAAAAAAGAGATTAAAGTTTGATAACAAGGAGAGAACAAGAGGAAATGTATGTTGAATTTAAATTAGCCTTAAAACAGTTATACATTGGGAGAGATTAAAATGAAAGAATTCAAAGTTTTGTAATGTTGGTATGAAGAGGCAGAAGGTCAGAAAGTAAGGGCTATAGTAATAGGGAGGGATCAGCACAACGTGGGTTTGGTTGTGGGAAAGATGTCAGGATATATTCAGGTTTGAAGTGAAAGTTGCATGACACAATTAATTTGGAGGACTGGGGGCATGGACAAAAATTGGGTTGACACAGGGTATATCTTTTACCCTGGCACAGACGCTGCAGTGCTGATTCAGATTCTTGTAGGCTGAGTTGTTACCAGGGATGTCATTCGCTTTCCGCAACGACTCAACACTCCCAGGCTGACTGGCAAACACCTCCATTGGAAAGGCAGGTAGACAAATTAAAATAATTATTATTTCTCCTTATTTCAGCTTTTGTTGTAAAAGAAGAGTTTGTCGGTTTCTTTAAGAGAAATTCATTAGTACTGAATTTATATTTGGGTCTTCACATTTCACTGGGAACAAGAATTCCCCATTCTTCATTTAAAATAACTTACCTGTGCCATGCCAAAAATAAAGTGATTAAAGATGCAAACTTCAAATTCAAACAACAAACTCAAACAGACGTTCTCGGCTTTTAATTAAAGATGCACTGTGAGTGTGATAGTACAGGACGTTATCTGCGGCTGTTAGTTTAGGGAACTAGCTTTGAAGATGAATAAAGAATCCTCAAGGAGCCAGTTCAAGTTATTTCTGTAAAGACTATAAATGGAAGCTGTATTTTTTATTTTTATTTTTGTCATTTTGAAGTCTTTGACATAACTGTTTGTCTAGTAGAAAGATGTCAGAAACACAAAGCTGGTAAAGCGCATTGATTAAACCTGGTCAGTCTGGGATTTGTACACTCCATCAGATTCTCAATCTCTCTCTTGTACAACACATTGGGTCATGTGTCAGTACCTCTCAGATGGATAATTTGAGACCTCAGACTCCTCAGTGGGAGTAATTGTGCAACTGAATTGGAAAGGGGAAGTCCTTTCTCCAACAGACCATCATTTTCTCTCTCCTGTATCGATGCAGGAGGGCAGACTGCCCAGTAAATCTGCTGGACTCTTCTGTCTTCACGGGGAACTTTGCCATGAGTCTGGGAAGCTGTCCAGCCTGTGAGCTGTTTAATGGGATTTTCAAGATGTCCTGTCTGTTTCTCCTGAGACAAACCTCTCTGTGTCAGAAAAAGGTCTCTCATCTCTCTGTAAACGCTTTTATTTGATAACTCACTAGCTGTTTACCTTGATAATTATGAAGATGTGAATGCAATATGTGTACAAGAAATGACCCCCTCTATTCTTAGACCCTCAATTCAGATAAAACTCCTCAAAAAGATCCTTCAACGGGGAAAATAAATGGTAGTAACCGCAAGAAGAGCAACAGAGGAGGAATGCCTCCTTCAGGGAATACAGACATGCAATAGATATTGTGCAGACAGAATAGACTAAAATAGTAAAATCACAGAATGGACAACCAGGATTGTGACAGTCCAGGGTAACTATTTTGCTTTGTATTTTTAAGTCCTTTTCAGATATGGAATATGTAACAGTACTGGTTTCATCTATCTGTTAAAGCGATAAGTTTGAGTCCCAAAAGTGACTTTTATGTTAATGGTTCTCACGGCTTCATTCAGACATGACAGCGGGCAGCAGAGAGAGAGAGAGACAGGGAGAGCGCGGAGTTAAAAATGTTATGATAGCAAGGGAGAAGGTTGTCTCTTGCTCGCCCACAGGCTGCATCACTGATGGATTTTATAGTTCTTACTATGAATGATGGGGTCCTACATAAACACAGAATTTTCTGCTTAAATTAGAACAGTTTTGGTTATTTTACATGACCGATTTCTGCCTGTGCTATTTTGCCTTTGCTCTTCTCAGTGGTTTGCTCAATTGGAAAAAGGGGAAAAAACAAATCTGAGTGAACCACATCCAAACAATCCTCATGAAGCAGATTAGCTAAGTTTTTGTGTTAATTACCACCTAAGGATGTTTTTGCCCAAAACTTACAGTTTTATACCAAGTGTTCAAAGGCTTTAATGCATGCCTTATGAGAAAGCAGTACTAAAGAACACTTCAGTATTTTAAGGGACCTAAGAAAATATATCTATAGTGCTCGCTAGCTTGCCATATTAAATAATTGAAATGTATATGTTATGGACAAGTTGTATGTTCTACAACAACAGTATAAAAAATGCAGTTGAAGTATCTCACGCTGCCAACAACAGGTTAGAATATAAAGATTTATCAATGCTGGAGTGTGGATGCAGGGTTTAGGGTATCCCATTGCCAAGGGGTTGGTAGTTGCTCTGTGTCAAATCTAGTGACAGCGGGAAAGGATCACAACGACCCTTCACAGGTCAGTGCTCACCATTGAAACAAGCTGAACTGAAATGAGTTGATCTTCCTCATTTAATATGACAGCCAGCTGTAGCGTGTTGATGTTGTCAGTTCCTGAATATACAGTGTTCCACAATAACAAGAGGCATACGTCAATATTATAGAGGCTGACAAGGACTGGAGTGTGTGTGTATGTGTGTGTGGTGCTTACTTTTCTGCTACAGGATGAATGCATGCATGTGGGTGTGGTTTACACTTACTATTCTTTGCTGCCGCTGCTTTTTCCTCAGCCTGATAAACTCCTTGTGTTGCCTTGAGACAAAGTTAACTGCTGCGTATTCCAGCAGGGCAGCAAACACAAACAGAAGGCACACCGCCATCCAAATGTCAATGGCCTTCACATAGGATACCTGGGAACAGACAAGGTCATCAACAGCCAATCAACGAAGCCAATTGGTAGTCTGTGGGTTGTTCACAAATCTACCCATTCCCCAGCTCTGGCACGTAATGACACACATCTTTGGAGTGGCCAAGAAATGTAATGAGTCAATGGGATGTGGGCAGTTGACACATAGCCAGGAGACAGGTCACAGCTAAGACTCGAGTAGAGCCCGGGCCGAGTCGTTCATGAGAGAAGATATGTCACAGCAAATCAACAACGCCCACTGAGCAAGCATTGTGTGGAAACTTCACTCAATTGAGCAGCAGTTTGCTAACTGATAAAGATACATGCATAAAACGGGGGTGGGGGGAACAGGAAATGACACATCACCAGGGTACAACCTTGCAACTCTTGTGAAAAATTGAAAACACTTAATCCATGTTTTAATCAACACTTCCACTGCATTACAGTATCATTCTCCAGATGACACACATCTTACTCTTTTCTCACTGTGTTAACATGCCAATTAACACCTACTAGGTTTTTTAAAATTCTTAATAAAAGTATTACAACCAAATGGAAAAATCCAATTATTTACCCCTTCATTCTATGGTTATCCTTTAAAATGGTTCTTTTTCATATTTCAGGGAGTTCATTTTTGTAACTATTTGAGTTAAAACACAAAAAAAAGAGGGTAGCTGGACTACCAAAAATCTAAGTATCCACCTAGAGTCTGATGATGATGTCAGATTTTGAGGTTTAATTCTAGGACAGTATGTACTGTATTCTATTAAGTATTTCAGACATTTGTATTTCTCTCTCGCTCTCTCACTCTCTCTCTCTCGCTCTCTGTATGTATGTATGTATGCGTGTGTGTGTGTGTGTATATATATATATATGTATATATATATATATATATATATATATATATATAAATATTAGAAACAGTTTTCCTTATCATACAGTCCAATACACCAACAAGTACAGCTTCAAAAATCACCAAACCAGTGACCAATGAAAAATGACTAGTTGAGAAATGCAAAACCAACCCCCCCCCCCCCCCCCGGTTCTGATGTAAATATTTTGCATTCACTGCACAAACTGCCCTATTGCATATATTCTTTATTATTCTCTTGTAGTTTTTTATACCGTGTCAATTTAATGTTTTTATATTTATGTATTGTATGTACCAGTGACAAGGGCTATGATGTAGACATCTATTCATTTTATGGGTTTGCAATCTATACAGTTCTGGAACCACTGGTTAAATCTGGGTGGGGTAAGTACATGAGCAGCGCACCACCTCCCTCATTACCACTACTGAGGTGTCATTGAGCAATGCACTTAACACCCAACTAGTCCAGTGGAGATACTCAGTGGCTGGCCAATAAGACTGGTTGTATTTGGCAGCTTCAATGTGTGAATGTAGCTGTGTGAATGCGTACAAGGTGTGTGAGAAAGAGAGCCTGGCTCTCAGCAAATTATTACCCTTCCTCAAGGTCAAAATGCACTCAAACTCTACAGCCACCAGTGAGTGTTCACTGGTAGCCCAAGTGCTGTTGCTATGGTTACCAGCAATCTAATATACCTTGTGCACTGATTTAGAACGTCGGTTAAACTGTTCGCCGAAATTATCGTCATGGTTTTCTAAAACGTGTGAATGGGCACCGGCCAGCCAATCAGAAAAAGTACTTACCGTGATGATGGTATAATACAGTCTGTCTCTCCCTAACCTTGTCCCCCAGGTACTGTGTGCCCTGTCTTTCACATACCAGACTCCAGTGTTCTCATCCCACCTGGCCCTTGTTTGTCTGCTCCCTAATTAGTCTCTGGGCTTGTCCTTAATCAGGACCTGCCTCATGCAAAGTCAGCATTTCCTGACTAAATATTCCCTAATAGGTTGTCCCATTCCACAAACCCCTCAAAATGCCTCTTTTATCCAACCTTGGTAGACACAACTAGTGCAGCTTTTGCAGTCCTCAGTGACCAAACATGTCTGTTACTTGTTTCATGTAGCATTTGGGTCGGGCTTGTCAGGAAATGTCAGGTATGAAAGGTAATGACATTTCTAAATCATGTATCACTTTTTGGGGAATATGTCAGAGCAAAATGTCAAAATAGTCCACAAGTTACAAACACAGGCTATAATCTGTTTATTAGATTTTTTTGTCAGTGACCTTTTTGTTGGGCTGATAGCATTAATGCTATTTCCTCTCATATATACTTTCATATTGGAGGAAAATGAGCAAATGATTGACTACAAAATATGTCTATTGGTTTTGGCGACCAATATTACTATAATATAGAACTTTATTTGTGCTCCGCTGACTTTCAGACACAGAAACATTTTACCCCACTAAACTGAAAGAAATGTACTGATGCAAAATGTTGGGCTCTGATGATAATTCATTACCTGAATCTCTGTTTGTATGCTCATCAGTTTTCTCAGTAAATAGTCTGACTGCAACAAACAAAACACCTTTCACAACGTACAAACCATTAAACATCTTGGTCACTAGTCTCCAGACTCACCTTGGGCAGTGAGGCCCTTGAACCAGAGCTCTGCGTGGTCATGGTCAGTACAGTGGTAATACCCAGACCCACTCTGGCTGGCGCAGCGTCCATGTTTATCCAGAAAGACACCCATGAGAGGATGACGATGAGGAGGGAAGGGATGTACATCTGGATCAAGTAGTAACCCATTTGACGTTCGAGGTGGAACTTCACCTCAATGCAGGTGAATTTACCTGTAGACGCATGATATAGTACATTTTAACTGTCTTGCTAAAAGACAGCACTGTTATTTAATTATGCTGTTAGAGTGGGAGAATAGAATGTAGATGGATGCTAACAATATAGGATAGGATTTTTGTTAAAGTAACTGTTCTTTGAACCATTAAGCAAATCATATGTTTAAATACTAACAAACCATCAGTTTACAGTGTTCTTAAAGTTGTTTTAGTTGTTGAATCTCGTATACCTGCCTCATTTTACATGCATCTGGAGAAGAAGTCAGCTGAAGCACTCAGTTACAATTTGGATTTTCAGTGTGGGGTCCCTTGTTCTTCAAATGGAATTCATTATGTACCTGTGTTGTAATGCTTAGTGCAGTAGCCCAAATCCTTCTCCTCTTTTAGCACAAACTGGGGGAGGGTGAGATCATCAGCCACCTGAACAGGGTTCTCAGAAAGCCACTCAAAGATCAAGTCATTCATGGTGTAACCAACTGTGAAAAGAGGAGATAAAGAGGAGGGAGAATTTGTTTGAATAAGGGAGAAATAGTAAGAAATTTGTATTTTTAAATTTTTTTCAACTTTAGCTTAGATTATAGACTGAATAGACTGTGAATTCTCGTATTCTTCATTTCACTTCTTTCCATGTGTCTTGCACATAATTTCAGAATAATTCTGGCACGCTTTGGTAAGGTGACGCATGTCATTATTTCATCATGATATGCATTTTACTATTTCACATTTTCAAAATTACATTGACTTGCCAAAGAGGGGTATCAGACTGTTTCTAATATACAATATCTCAGACATGTCAAACCCATTAAACTGGGTTAAGGTAGCGTATCACCAATGCATTTGTGCAAAGGAGTCATGCTTTTTACTTGCAACTACACTCCAGCATTTTTAACATCATACTGATAATATTTCAGCGAAGAACATCAAAACAAGGGGCTGTGTATTGGTTACCAACTATGACAGCGGAACACATCAGTCACAGGACATAACATTAACATTTCTTGTTGCATTGTATTACAAAAACAAAGCTGTTTACTGAATTTGTTTTTAAAACTGCATAAAATCAGGTGCACCACCCCACCAGATGTTAAATATTTGTATTACTGTTATCACTATTGCTGAGATTCCCACCTGCTTCCTCTTTCTTAACCCAATTTCTTTCCTACACCACAAATCTAACTGGGATCTTGTTACCTAGTATAAAATCTGTGCATGAGAAGCATCAGAAACCTTGGCTAATGAGACTCTGAGAGAGATACTCAGGGAGAGACTCAGAGACAGAGAGAGAAAGAGAGACAGAGAGAAAAACTTGGAAGGTTGTGGTGGTGATGCTTTTGCCCATCTGTCCAGCTACCAGCTACCCTCTGCCATCATGTTTGTCAAAGTAAAGGTCACCCACCACAGCTACAGTCATGTTATCACGGTTGCTTGAAGGTTACAGCATAAGGGGGGAGCATGAGGACAGTGGGAAATGTGCTTACACACACTGAGCTGATTAGTGTATGAAATCTTTCCAGTGCACATTACCATCCATGTGCAGTGCACCAATAGTAATGTACAAACTGTAACATAATGGAGTATATATTTATTTTTGCAAGTGAATATACACTTTAGTACAACACTTAGACCACTCAGGATAAGTAAATAATTATTTTGCTTCCACACACGGTTGATTTGCCTGCTCCTTTTGAGGTTTGCACTCCTTCTCGCAGCTGCCTGATTATAGGTATATTAAAAATGCATGCCAGATGCATCAGCAACGCAGGATTCCTTGCACATCTGAATAATACTGATGTCTGGTGAGACCCTCTAAGGCCTGAGCTACAAAAACATCAATTATTCAAAATGTTATACCCTATCCTGTACCACACGCCTGAAGAACAATGCCCATCAAACACACTTTGCGAATTCTCTTCATGTACAAGATGTCATTCACACATCCTGCTGTAAAAAGCAAGGGGAATAACAATGCCTTCAATGATTTCAATGATAATGGTCACTTTTCTCCCGCCAGCTACAGCTAAGAGGTGTGCAATAAAAATGAAATTCATGAGGCAGAATGTCTGGAATATCTTAGCAAGGTAAAGTAATTACTGTTAGTCACATGCCATCTTCTTTTTCATGTTAAAAAGCCATTCACCTAATGAAAGCCACAATCTTAATGCAGCCACGGTTATGCTTCAGATTAGCGGTCTTAGTCTTGCTTTTTACTCATCGTGTTAATTACAAAGTACATTTGAGGTTCCTGGACACTAATGGCTAAAGGCAAAGCGAAGTGGTATAAGCTGCATATATGGGGCTTTGATGTGTCAGAATAAGGCTGAATCTTATGGTTGGTTCTATTTATATTTCTATATAAGCCTGTGGCATGAAAGGGCAGAAAAGAAGATTGGCCTTGGCTTTCTAAAACCCCAAAGATAACTCTCTGCTTTTCTTTCTTTTTTTTCCATCACTCGCCTCTCTCTCTCTTTCTCATGTTGAACAGTGTTTCCAACACTGTGGTAGTGGCAGTAAAACCTATAATGTCCTCCTTAACATCAAGCCAAGGTGATCACACCCTTGGGTGGTGTACTAGCACTTGTCAACACAAGGCCAAGTATTCTCACCAGGCCTTTAATCAGAAACTATTACGTCTCCTCTAATGGCAGTGTGATGCACCAAACACACACACACACACACACACACTGCTGCTTTAAGCACACATCTGTTTCTCCTCTCGCTTACACTCCTAAAGGGTAAAATATCTTTATATATTTTTTTAAGCTGGATGACGTACATGCTGCACTAAATTTATTGGATTTTTTTATCCGTTTGTCCCTGCATTCATTTGCAGAAATAAATCCTGCTACCTTCAGCACAAAGAGGGAGTTCTGTACAAACCAATACCTCTTGTTCTTGTTGAATCAGATAAGGACACAGATAGAGATACCAGCTTTCAGCTTGACTTATTTATTTGTGAGAAATGCTTCTGAAAAGGTGCAGTGATTTCATGGTACGAGTGCTCCTTCTGTCGCCTCCCTTTTGCTAGACTTAATTCTTTTGTCCCTATGATGGGAAATTAGGTTACCTCTAGGCGCAGGGGGTGGGTCACATATAATAAAAGGGACACAAAATTAAAGTTTTATTATTTATATCCTGGAAATTGGTTTCATGAGGGCAGATACTATCTCTGCTAAAAGCAAAGGAATACTGAAAGGGGAGAATATTATTCTTGCCCTACTTTTTATCAATTTTATAACATTTTAAAAGGTTTCAAATGCCTTCTGTATGGTTCTTGAACTTTTCAGTTTTAATAAATGTACATTAAATGTGAACAAGTATAAAATGGTAAATAATTTACGTAGTGTAAGGTGACCAGATTTCTGAAACGAAAACCGGGGACATTTTTGGTTGGGTGGTCAGTATGTCATTAAAAATATGTTATTATGAAATAAAAAAGGGGGACGATTTTGGTTTTATAATCTGTCAAATATAACTCTTCTGAATTAAATCAAATCATTTTGAGGCAGAAACTACCTTTCAGTCAATAAGTAGAGGCTGTAAATACTTTCTGGCAAGTAGAATACTGCATTTTATGTGTGCGTTTGGCCATTTAAAGGTATTTTAACAGGTAAAAAAGACTGGATCGGTTGGTACACAGCAAGTTAAATAATGTAGAGTCATTAGGATAATTGCAAAAAAGATCTTGTCTTTATTTTATATGTAACTCGGCAGTAAGCCATGTTAATTATAGGCTACATTTGTTTTTCAAATATGAACAAGGACATTAGAGACAGACCTGCCAAACACATAATCTATCAACAACAACAGGCTTCAATTATTGCTTATAATAGGGTGACCAGACGTCCCCATTTTCCGGGACAGTCACCGTTTTGGTGGCCATTCACCGTCTGAAGCTGTCCCCGGAAATGTCCCCGTTTTTAACTGTGTGTTAATCATACGCTGTAGAAGGTGTTAACAGACTTGAAATCAGATTTACGTGGTCAGAAAGACAGGACAGCAGAGCAGACAGGTGTTGTGGTAAAAAGTGATCGTTCGCCAAAAATTGATTGCCGTCTGCGGGAGCGCGTGCAGCATGTTAAAGCTGTATCGCCCAGTCTCTTCACATCTTCACGTACAAATAAACATCACTTTATGTCCATGGCAACAGCAAAGACGTCTTTGTGATACTTTAACGTTTGTTTTAACAGAATAATCACAATTGTAGCCAAATAAGTGTTTATAGCGTAAACAGGCCTGACATTTATATGATTATAGGCAATAATAGAAGCCTGTTGTTGCCGATGGATTATGTGTTTGGTAGGCCTATATCTGAAATCCTTGTTTATATTTGGAAAACGGAATGTAGCCCATAATTATGACTTACTGCTGAGTTATATATAAAATAAATACATGATCTCTGTTGCAATTATCTTTATGACTCTACATTATTTAACTTGCTGTGTACCAACCAATCCAGTACTTTTTACCTGTTAAAATATCTTTAAATGGCCAATACGATCCATAACGTGCAGTATTTCACTTGCCAAAAAGTGATTGCAGCTTCTACTTATTGACTGAAAGGTAGATTCGGCCTCAAACTGACTTATTATTTCATTCAGAAGTTACATTTGACAGATTATAACTTAACTCTACTTTTTACCCTTAAAATACCTTTAAATGTCGAAAACAACACATAATATGCAGTATACTTGCCAGAAAGTGATTTCAGCCTCTACCTATTGACTGAAAGGTAGTTTATACCTCCAAATTACTTGATTTCATTCAGAAGAGTAAAATCTGATTTCAGGTCTGTTAACACCTTATACAGTCTATGAATAACACAGTTAAAAACGGGGACATTTCCGGGGACAGCTCCAGATGGGGACAGGCCACCAAAACCAGGGACTGTTCCCAGAAACAGGGACATCTGGTCACCCTAATGTAGCGGCACCACCCCATACTGTTGCTAAACCTGTCAAGCCTGTCAACCTGTCATGCATTACCACTCATTTATCTTAGTAATTTTTGAAATAATGGGTCCTTGATTGTAGACAGTGGTACATAAAACCAGGCTCCTGTTGAATTTGTCCAGACGCAGTCAATTAGCTAGCTAGCTAAGTAACTAAGCTAATGTTAGCTTCATGAGTTAGTTGAAAACACTCTTTGGCTGACTAAGTGACCGTTGACTCGTTTTTAAAATGAGAACCATGTAAATGGGTCTTAAATATTAAATATGTCTCACTTTCAATGTTAGAAGAAAGCTTTATAGTGTGAGGACTAACCCATGTGTTTTGGCTAAAGTTAGCCTACACTCTGATCTAGCTGGCATCCATGACTGGCTTCCACACAGTGAGGAAATACTACACAGTATTACAGCATGTAATGAAAAAAATGTCATTTTTTTTAATGTAGCATGTAGCATGTAACGCCCCTGCTATGTGGAAGTCGTGCTGGGTTAATGTAGGTAGTAAGCTAGTTAGCCTGACATGCTAATGTTCGCAGCTTATGTTGTGAAACAGTTCCTATCTCCTGGAATATAGCAAGATTAGACATTTTACAAGCCAGGCAAAAGGCAGAAAATTGGGAAGAGTGGGAAGATAAAAAGGAAAGTGAGACAAAAGGAAGAGGTAGAAGAGATGAAGACTCACAGCTTTCAAGCTGCATGGTACAGGTCTGAATGTCCATAGGGAAATTCTTCAAGTCCATAGGGCAGGACAGGGTAAGAGTCAGCCTGAGATAGACACAGATACGAGGAGCAAAAGGGGATGTCAAAAGGCACAAAGGGGATCAAGGAAAAGACACCAAAACACAAGGCGAAAGTTAACAGATTGAACAATAAATCAAGTCCAAGCTACTTTGCTTTTACAAATTACAAAACAGGAGTTGTATGCGTTGCAAAAAAAAGCCTAAATAGATTTTCCTTTAAAAACAGTAGATTGGAAAGAATGTTGAGTTACTCTGCCATTTGATTACTCGTCACACCACTGTTATGGCAAAGTAATTGGTATAGGTATCCCTACATAATTTGTTGTGCTGTTGATGCATTAAGCTTTCAAGAATCCTCAGAGAAGAGAGAAAGAGCCATTTGGGAGTCTGTCTGGAGGAAAGCTGTGTAATTACCTGCTGTAATGCATTGCCCACAGGCGAGACAAGAGCCGGCAGCAGTATACACTGAGGCACACATTTGCTACTGTGTTATGATGACACAATATCTTTTTCACCAGCTGAAGAACAAACTACAAATACCCAAGTGATTGACTCTCCTAACATCGCATATATTCTGTCATGTATTTAGAGCAGACGAAGATGTTTTGATCCATAATCCATAAAGAAAACATAATTAGGGAGCAGTAAATCTATGGCATGAGGTAGTGATTATCTGTATTTGCAATACTGAGTCTGAATACAACAGAGGAATTATGTAGTATATGTCAAAAAATGACATCCTATTAAAATGTATAAATATTAACTTTTTTAACTTCAGTTTTTAAGCAACATAATATTTTACAGAAAAGCAGGCTCCCATATGGGTGAAATTAGTGTGTTTTCATAGGCAAAATGACCAGTTTGGAAATGTGTTGCATTTTCTTTCATCCCTGAAATGTGCAAAGATAATTTTTGCAAACCTCTAGTCCACACTAGATTTGTTTACATTACAACCAAGGTTGTCTGTACTGAGATACAAATTAATGTCCATCTTCAGCACTTTAAAATGCTCATTTTCAAAGTACTTTAAAAAAAAATATATTTCATTGTGCATAAATGAATTGACTTATTCAACAGTAGCCTCCCAGATTAAGACAACAACAATCTGATTATATCAAAGCAGTTGAGAATGAATGAATTACATGCACAGATGTTTTCACATTATTCTGTAGCTACATCTCAGTTAAGCCCCTGATGTCATTTTCCAACAAATGTTGGGAATATTATTTTAGTTACCTGATGCTGTACAGAACGCTGCCATCTTGGAAAATCCGCAGCAGCTTGTTATCAGTTGTGACCTCGTGGAAATTAGCTCCTTTCTCGTTTGCAAAGAATAAATCAGGTTTCCAGATGGAGTCCAACATGGATGGATCCAGATCAAGGGAATCATCTGGGTATTCGCTGTACGCCAGACGAGGGTCATTCCAGTTTTGCCGTAGAAATACATTGAGCCTGTAGTCCTGTAGAAGAACTCAGGTTAGTTAATAGAAAATGTCATCAGTGAAGCTTGTAATACAGAAGGAGAGCTTAGAAGTGGATCATTCTGCAGTCGTTATTTGAGAAGTTTCTGGGAATGTTCTGTTACTGGTCACCATTAGAGTCCATTCTAACTGATAATAAATTTATGCTGACCAAAGCTTTTGTACTATATGAAAGTTTTAAGAGTTGACAAGAATTACATACATAACATGATAATGTGTTACAATGTGAATAAAATTAAAGAACACGGTCAAACTCCATATCATTCTTGTTGAAATGCCCCTCACCATATTCATCAGATTTTACTAAAGTAACTGATTGACTAAGATGGTGTACTGTTTGTTTAGTGATTGTAGCCACTTGCTGCTGGTGAACAGAGGGTTGGCAATGCAAGCCAGGCCAAGGACACAATCATTCCTGCCTGCAGCCATCATACAAGACTAATTAAATTAGAATTCTAATCTGTGCAATTAATTCAGAATCCATCCATGGGCATTGTAAATTGTTTCTTTTCTTGCTTGTTCACTTCATTTATCAGAATAAAAAGCATGCTTCACCAGTACATACAATGACATCATTAGTGTTTTCGTTCTCTGGGCTGACCTGCCTGGAGGTCTAACCCTCTGGTCCTCCCTCAGACACCCTTAAACTGTTCACTGGTGTATTGTGCTGACCCAGCAGCTATAACACTGTAAATGCGGATGTGAGGACAGCCATTTTTCCCTGAACCCCTCGTCCTCTCTTCCATACCACTTTTCATTCACTTTCTCAATTTTTCATTTTAATTGCAGAGTGGACAGTTCATTATCAGCATGTCAGTGACCCAGTGGTCTCTGAAGGTTGCACTGTTATCCTCCAGGAAACATGAGGGAACAGCTTCAGCACTGATTGGATTAGGAAAGAAGTTGGTAGGAAAGAAAGGGGATGGAGTGTTTCAAGATTTCTATAGAAATCGTGCGGTGATACACTAAAATAGAGAAATAAGAAAATAAGCTACAACTAAAACAACACAAACCATACCCCATAATCATGTCTAGAAACAAATAAACTGCAGTGATATTTTTAAACATAATAATGCCATTTTTAAGAATATACAACATATGTGAAAAATTTGAAATCTCCATGGTCTTCTTACCATTGTAGTTTCTGTGATCGACCCAAAGCTGTTGATGAAAATATTACAGGTGACATTCACAGGTGGGCCTGAGGGAGGAAAAAAGACTGAATTTACATGTGTGGCTTTTTAAGGTTCATTTTCTTTATTACTTTTCATACAGTAATTGTGACTGAAAATGTTGCAACAACATAAGTCATGTCAGCTCCTTTTCTGTTGTTGAAGAGCCTACTCTATAAAGACTCTAGGGCCTGGTCTGAAATGGCCTGCAGTGTTTTTAAAAAAAAACAAAAAAAAAACCACTAGAATATGGCTTCTAATAACTAAAACTGTATGTACATTGCACATCCTAGTTTAAAGACCAGAGGCACTGCCATTTTGAACAATGTTTTTCTGGCCTTTAATTCAAGTGCAATTACATCCAAAAAACTTCTCTTAAAACTTTTTGAGGTTGGTTTTAGTAAACGATTCTAGGGAAATTGCATTATTAAAATTCAGAGCAAGGAAGGTCATAGATGGGTCTGCCCACATTTTGGTGTCTGAGAAAATTGTCAGTGTGCAACTCTTACTTTTTAAATTATGTTTATATGCTACTACTTTACAACAGCAAATACATTTAGTGAGAAACGTCACCTGAATTACATTTTTGCAAGCATATTTGCAAAATCTTGCAATATTCTTATTTAAAATCTTATTTAGTCCTGGTAGTAGCTCTCACGATACATCCACTCAATGGCATGGTTATGTTTAGGCACTCAGAGCACTTGGTTAAAAAGTCAATAATGACTTGATGTACTTATTAACATTTAACCAAAGCAGTGATCTAACCAAAGTGCTTTCGTTGCCTAAGCCCAAATATTTTCACACTATGAGTAGCGCCTCCCCAGAGGGGTCTGGAAGGAAAGATGTGAGGTAAAGATGGTGTTTGAGGTAAAAGAGACAGGTACATGCTGGTGTTCTACAAACAACAGGAAGATAGTTTTTGTAGTTTGGCTCATTGGTTTTTACTGCTTATGGTCAGAAATTGGCAAGGCAAGTTTATTTGTACAGCACATTTCAACAACAAGGCAATTAAAAGTGCTTTACATCAGACTTAAAAGCAACACAGGAAAATTGAAAAAATAAAACACATTATCAAAACAGGATAAAAAACAGGGTAAAACGGGACAGTAAAAGTTACAGTGCCGTGTACAATCAGGGCACTGAAAATCTAAAGACAAAGAAAAACGGACGTTACAGTGCAGTGAAAGGTACCAATCTACGGCTTTAATTAAAAGCAGTGGTAAAAAGAAAAGTCTTCAGTCTTAATTTAAAAGAACTGACCGTTTCAGCAGACCTGCAGTTATCTGGGAGTTTGTTCCATATATAAGGAGCATAATAACAGCAGGATTTTGAAATCAATTCTTTGACATACAGGAAGCCAATGTAAAGACCTCAGAAGTGGAGTAATGTGATCCATTTTTTTAGTCTTAGTGAGGACTCGAGCAGCAGAGTTCTGAATCAGCTGCAGCTGTCTGATGGATTTCTTAGGGAGCCCTGTAAAGACACCGTTACAGTAGTCGAGTCGATAGAAGATAAATGCATGGACAAGTTTCTCCAGGTCCTGCTGAGACATAAGTCCTCTTATCCTTGATAATATTCTTCAGGTGATAGTAGGCTGACTTTGTAATTGTCTTAATGTGGCTCCTTAAATTCAGGTCCATGACTACACCAAGATTTCTGGCTTGGTTTGTGGTTCTTAACATTACCGATTGAAGCTGAGCACTGACTTTCAATCGTTCCTTCCTGGCTCCAAAAACAATGACTTTAGTTTTATCTTTGTTCATTTGAAGAAAATTTTGGCACATCCGATCGTTGACCTGCTCAATACAGTCACTCAGTGCCTGTATGGGATCATAGTCCCCTGGTGATGTGGTTATGTAAATCTGTTTGTCATCTGCATAATTATGGTAACATATTTTGTTGTTTTTCATAATCTGAGCCAGTGGAAGCATGTAAATGTTAAACAAAAGAGGCCCCAGAATGGAGCCTTGGGAAACTCCACGTCATTTTTGTTAGCTCAGATGTGTGATTACCTATAGACACAAAGTAGTCCCTGTCTTTTAAGTAGGATTCAAACCAGTTTAGTACTGTGCCAGAAAGTCCAACCCAGGTTTCAAGTCTGTCTATTAATATGTTATGGTTGATTGTGTCGAAATCAGTACTGAGATCCAATAATACTAAGACTGAAATTCTACCACTGTCTGTGTTAAAATGGATGTCATTGAAGACCTTAACCAGAACCATCTTAGTTCTGTGGTGTGGTCGAAATCCTGATTGGAAGACATCAAAACAGTTATTTAGTGCCAAGAAAGCACAAATCTGTTGGAAAAAAGCCTTTTCAATGATTTTACTTAAAAATGGGAGATTTGATATGGGCCTGTAATTGCTCATTAGTGACCTGTCTAGATTGCTCTTTTTTTCAGTGCCTGTGGGAACAAACCTGAGAGGAGAGACATGTTGACAATTTGTCGTAGATCTGAGGCCATGCATTTAGAAACATTTTTGAAAAAACCTGTTGGCAGAATATCAAGGCAGTATGAGGAGGATTTCAGATCTTGTATTATCTCCTCCAGGTTGTTATGGTGGATAAAATCGAATTATGTCATGCTATATGAATTGTTTTTAAGTGGACACCGGTACAACATATAACCTGATATGGAGGCACTGATTGCTTGTCTAATAGTTTGAATTTTGTCTGTGAAGAAGGAGGCGATTTCATTGCAGGCCCTGGTGGATAGAAGTTCATAGGCTACAGACACAGGAGGATTGGTTAGCCTGTCAACAGTAGCAAACAGGGCACGTGCATTATTAGTGTTTTTGGGGATGATGTCAGAGAAGAAGGACTGCCTTGTATTTCTCAGTTCTAAAATATAAATGCGAAGTCTCTCTTTGTGGACGTCATAATGAACCTGGAGATTTGTTTTCCGCCACCTGTGTCCAGCTTTTTCGACATCTTCTCTTACCAGAGACCACCTTTGGCTGGTGCAATGGCATCAATAACATTTGTAATTTTAGAATTTAAATTATCTACAAGCTCATTTACTGAGACCCATGAAAGGGCGGGTGTCGAAGAGAAAGCCTGAATAAATTTTTCACTAGAGTTTTCAATGATATGCCGTTTTGTGATAACCTCTGTCTGTACATTTGTGTGCACGGAGATTGTACTCTCAAAGAAAACACAGGAATGATCAGAGAGAGCAACATCAGTCACCATAACCTTGGAAATGTTCAGACCCTTGGAGAGTGCAAAGTCCAAAGTGTGCCCCTTATTGTATGTGGGCTCCGTCACAAGTTGAGTCAGTCCATATATATCAAGAACACAACACAGTTCTTTAGTCCCTCTGTCCTGGGGGTTGTCACCATGGATGTTAAAATCACCAACAATAACTACACAGTCAATACAGATTATAGACAGCAGTTCACCAAAGTCATCAAAAAAGTTTGTAGAGTATTTAGGGGGCCTGTATATATTTAGAAAAATAGCTCGAGAAGTGGAATTCAGCTGAAGAGCCACATATTCAAAAGAAGCAAAATTCCCATAAGACATCTTTTTGCATTGGAGGGAGTCATTAAACAAAATGGCAAAATTGGAGCAGCAGCAGCTGTGACACACTTCACAGAGGCCGTTAAAAGTACTTTAAAGCCCTTAGTGCCCAATTGCTGCAATTTGCATCAAAAATCTTATTCCTTCTCTGTGTCATAACTTGGTCAAATCTAAAAACCCAGACATGATGCACGTAATTTATACTTTCTCAAGATATCGTATCCATCACGTCCTCAAATCTAGTTAGAACTCATAGAAAATAAAAAGATGCTCCAGAACTTGCCTTAGAATCATCACGATTCTTTTCAGTCCAACTGACATCATAGTTTCTGACAGAACAACATATAGTACTGTACATACACATGAGGATAGTCAGCTGTTTAGCTCTCACAGCACAGATCCGCTCATCTTTGTTTTTTTTCCTGTGAATGTTTTTTCAAATGGATTTTCTTGAGGGCTACTGTGATGGTCTGCCTTGGCATATACTGTACCTTTGAAGTTGGGTCTGATGCGGGCATCATATCCTGATGTTTTCCCCATGAGCTTGTCCAGGAAGTCAGAAGGTGACAGCTGTGGTCCTGCCCTGCCGGGGGGCTTTATCTCCTCCTTACAGGAGCTCAATCTGACATTACCCAGGGAGGGAATTAGACAGGGAACAATTACAAAGACAAAGAAAAAACAGAAGAAACAGCAGAGGAGATGTATGTATGTATGTATGTATGTATGTATGTGAGGTAGCAATGGGGGTGGTGGAGAAAAAATAATGAGAATGAGAAGCCAACAGCTATCACCAAGTCAGTTCATCAGCAAAAAAATACCTAGCGGTGGATGGGGAAATGAGGGTGAAAAGTGAAAAATGACGCCCCAAAGGCTTGCCTCAGCTAGCGACTAAAAGCTTATCTATTTTACATCATGTCTGAGACTTACTGTGGTTGTTAGGCCCTAACTACAGAGAAGCAAAACAGAAGAAGAGGTAAACTTGTCCCTCCTCTGTATTTCCCACTGCTCGTGGCTTAGCAGGGGTAAGGCTTGACAGATTGATGGCTCAATTGTAATGCTATGAATGTCACACCGGGGAGAGGAAGGAGTTGATACAAGCTCCAGTGAGGCTCAGGCAGCCACTGACAGGAATAACCAACAGGCCAGAGTGAAAGGAGGGAAAGGAGAAAAATCTTAAAGAAAATGTGAAGAAAGACAAAAGGGAACATATAAAAGAAAACTCTAAACCAGGAAACCCTGGTTTATGATGCATTTGATTTATTACACACCCCAGCTGCATTACAGATGATTGCACCCCATGCCTTTGATACAATTGTTAACAGTTCATGATCCGTCATGATCTGAAACTCTGGAGTACAGATGGCGGGTTCAGTCCCCTCCGAGGCACAGCTTTGCTGATGCCCTGTGTTCTCATGAGTGTGTGTGTAGCCAGTCACTGATCCACCAATCTTACCGCTCCTTAGCTTTATTTAGAGTCACATAAACCGCACTGTCAGGAGCTACAGGATCAAAGACTTTGTGGAGGATATTTTTGGGACTTCAAGGCTAAAGCTGAGCTCATCCTGAGAGATCTTCCTCTTGTAATAGTGAAGGAAACAATTAGGAATTGTTTGAAAATTGAGCTATTGTGATGGCTGTCATTGCGACTACTTAACTGTAATATAATTATGAAGCTATGGTTAAATATGTTATTGCATGTTGCATGCTAATATTAACCCCAGGTGAATGATAATTGCCAAGGGATTTAATCAGTTGTTCTACTACCACTATCTGAGCTAAGACCTCCTCTTTCCTGTACTGTGGTTGTTTATAACCCTACAGAATAAACAGCAACATTGTTTTTAAGAGGCTTTACTTTCAAAAGATTATTTTACTTATTATTCCATGTTTGCTTAATGACACACCTACATTTGAAGTGTCCTTGCTCACCCATGATGTGTCAATGCTTCCCAGTCTTCAGATGGAAAGCAGCATACTTAACTGACCGTGTCTGTCCTTCGATGTCTGAATTTGAATGAATGCAGCCATCCGCATAAATCAATCGAGGAATATTTAAATGTTCCGTTGGCAATAAATATTCTGTAAGACAGTCCATAGACTGTAAACCTCCGCCAGAAGTAAACAATTCTACACCTTGCAAGGCTGAAGTTTGTGTCAAGGCCACCTCTAATTTATTGAAGTGGCTCAATCATTTCTTTTTTAAGCTTTCTGCAGCACAGAACATACTATACATCGGTGATCGGCAATAGGCGACCCGCGGGCCAGAACAGGCCCAGATTGCTTTGATAGTAGAAAAATAAATACATTGATAGCAGCTGGTGCTGAAATAGATCCCAGTCATGCAGTTACTCATTGCAGTTAATCACTTCCTCTTAAGTGATTGTGTCTCCAAAAAAAAAGCAGGAGAATGTTTTTTTGCAGCAATGCCTTATGTCGACTTTTTTGAGAGCTTTTACTTTGAAAAGTTCTAAAGGACATTCAAAAAAGTCTCTGGCCTGCTTGACATACCTCTAAAAAAGCCGTCAGTAAACGTGTGATTGGATTCCCCTGAATTTCCTCAGGGAAATGAAAATAAGCGTCTATAGGTTTATGAAGGCGGATCAAATGCCGGGACGCACACAAACTCCAGCACATGCTTTATTGTGAGCATGTGCAAAAGTGTCCTTATAATCCATTTGTTTAACAGAGGAGAAAAAATATATCTGCTGTACATTGGACTTGATCATACAACCCTCCCAACAGGAGTCACGCTCCTACCGACTACACTAAACGTACACATAAGTGATTAAGGATTTGAAATAATTTGACTTTGTTCTGGCCCTGTAATGACTTGAAAAAACTTTGGCACAATGACTTATTTGCCGACCCCTGCTATACATCATATCATCAGTGTCTCAAATGAGTCATGTGATTGTTTTATGACACCGCTATTGTTAAGGTTTGGTTAGGCTTTAGGGCTGGGCGATAAGGCCAAAAATGTTATCATGATAAATACATTTCATTTCATTCGATAATTATCAACATATATGTCAATTCATTTTTTCTTAGTAAAAATTGAAGAAACCAGATGGTTAATTATGTGGTTAAACTTATCTTTATGGTCAGAATGTGACAAACACTTGATGCCAAACAGTTGATCACTTCACAAGTCTGAGGTAGAACATTCACAACAATTATGATAAAATCTTTTTCAACAAATATGATTAGTTCATCTTTCTTTAGGCCTCTTCTTCTCAACAAAATAAATATTTTAATAGAAAATTTAAGGGCTAATTTGTCCGTGATTCAAATGAATTAAACCAAATATTTGACGATATATTGAACATTTATTATATTGTTATTGAGGAAAATTATATTGCGATTATTATCATTACTGTTTTATTGCCCAGCCGTATTAGGCTTAGATACAAAACCTACTTGGGTACTAGGGGTGTGCATCTTCACTGGTCTCACGATTCGATTTGATTACGATTATCAGGTCAACGATTTGACTTGATCCCTCGATGCATCACGATGCATGATAATGCATCACCTCAAGGGTGGGAATTTCTAGGTACCTCAATACAATTATGAGGCTACGATGCGATTGTAAAACGAATAGCATGAAGATGTGTTTTTCTCACTGTGTGACTATTTGGTGTTTGTAACAATCCCAAGTAGTAGGTAGTAATGAAATGCAGCTATTTAATGTTACTTCATATAAATTTAGCTAACATTGCATAGCATTATTACATTATTACAGCATTATTACTCCTCTTCTGCAGCTATTTTCATTTCTGAGGCTGCTGTTATTAGTATATATTCAGATGGGGTTAAACTACACACTTTTCAATGCTCCAGCCAAACCACGTTCACTCCACCTTAATATATCTATTCCTTTTTTTGTCTAGTCTAGTGTAGTAATATGTTTGTGTCTTGTCCTGTAAGGTGATTATTGTAATCTTTTATTGAGCACCATGGGCCTTGAGAAACAGGATTTTGTTCATTTGTGTACTCTATATGTGGATGAATGACAACAAACCAACTTTACAGCAGCTAAATAACATCCTGCTCAGCTTCCAGACCGCAGTCTGAAGAGGAGATGTTTGCTAGCGCAAAGTGCCGTTCTAGTAGTTGGAAAACCGAGAGACTTTAATAAACAGACATGCTGTCACCTACACTGTAGATTTACAGCCAAACTGAAACGTAGCGCTCATGTTTTCCTCTGCTCCGCTTGTTTTCACCGTCACCTACTGCTGCCTGTCACATAGTTGTCATTTGAAGAATGAGGAGGGGACCCTAGCTAAGCGCCACTGCGCTGCACAGTGTGCAGGTGAAAATCATTAACTTGAGTTGCGCATTGATTTTACTGATCATGTGAAATTTTAGTAGCAACAGTCACTCAATCAATTGCTGCCTGTCTGTGCTAAACAGAGAGAACTACACTTCTCCGTTGTGTGCACTGTACAGACGGTCCTGAGCTGCACTTCCGCATTTCCGAGTTCTGCCTTTTTCGTCCTGTCGACATTATATTATCAATTAACCTCTAAATAATAGATTATTGACATTTGTGAATCGATACATAATCGTCCAAGGCCGCATCGCGAGGCATCTAAAAATCAATTATTTTCCACATCCCTATTGGGGATAGTTAGGAAAGGATCATGGTCATGCTTATACAACACAATTTTGATTGTTGGTACAAAAACATTTGTAATAGTCAGATGTTGTACTCCCAAACACCCATTGGGATCTCTTTCACAAGAGGGTTTGCAGTGCTATAACAATGTGACTACTACTACTTGGGCTTTTTCTCCTAACCAGACACAAGTCCTAATTTACACAGTCACAGGGACTCCTTGTCAAATGAATGCAAACATAGGTTGTTTTCTGGTGATGACAGTATCTTCGGATAAAAAGGGGTCTGTGGTTGGTGATTGCACAATGGATAAGACTATGCCTTCAAATCCCCCACTGTGACCCATCCACCATTGTGTCCCTGAGCAAGACACTTAACCCCTAGTTGCTCCAGAGGCGTGCGACCTCTGACATGTATAGCAATTGTAAGTCGCTTTAGATAAAAGCGTCAGCTAAATTAATAAATATAAATGTACAAATAAAATCACAGAACTGAAGTCCCTTTCGAGATCAGTCATAGTCTAAACTGTCACACAAACAGGAAAGTAGTTCACTCTGAATTAACCTTTACAGCATTAGCATGCAAGTTTGGGACAATGGGACCTTGTCATTCTAGTTCTGCGACCAGCAGCTGGTTTCAGAATAAACATCTTAATAAGAAAAATTAAGTCCTAATTTGTGTATGATTCAAGTGAATAAAATCAAACATTTATTGAATATTTATTAACATTTGTTATATTGTTATTGGGGGAAAAAATTATATTGCGATTAATATAAACAATCTCAGCATAACGTCTTAATCTACCAGTGGCAAAGCCCAAAGGATGCTACTAAGACTACCCGAAAGATGCCCCAGCTAACTTTACAGGGTAAAAGCCTCACCGTGACAGGGCTGGTACCGTTTCTCTGAGACAGATCATCTATCACTACCAGCTCATCAATGATGTGCTTAATGATTGTATTTGATAAAAAGTGTTATTCCAATGAAAAACCATATGCGCCTAT